GCAGACATATGTATGCATGACATATCATTGAAATTCTTCGCATGGTAAAAACCTGATAGATAATTGAACATACTCGTATGGGGTCTACTTTGATACCTTTAATATATGATAAGTTGATTGATTATACAGCGGTCTTCATCAGATACGCCAAAAGTGATTAATGGAAACTGGACTGCAGCATCATGGTTTTTTGCAAAATATCAATTGTTCGATGATTTTGCGCCCATCTTTACGTCGATAAGCGTATAATGGAACTGTAAAATGATGAGCAGTTTGTTAACACTAGTAACACTACTATATATTATATCGTTCGTGAAGTCGGGTCGATTATAGGAACCCAGTGTCGCTACATTCCGGTGACTTGATGTTCAGCCCACATACAATATGTTTTCATAAGTGGGTTTACTAAAATATTTATCTGTATAATCAAGGCATCCAACGCAACAAATATACAAATAGAAGCGCAACAGTATCAGTATGGCAGACATTCTTGTATTGCTATTTATGTCGAAAAGAGCAAGTCTGCATAGAATAAGTCGTTCGGTACATAAACTGTTTTAATATACACTTCTTATCGGACTTCTATTTCAGTTTTGCCAAGTGTCAAACTTCAAAATCGGAAAACGGGCTATTATTCAGCACTTCGCATTTTACAAGGTGTTAATCAACTCATCAGTCGAAGTAGCTTGCATAGACATGCTCAAGTGGTTCGTGTCACTTCTGTAGTTCTAAGACGCCATTTTTTTCTTGAAGCATACTTCCTCTTTTTTCCATCAATACCAACGCCCGACTTCTCTCTTGATTCGTAATTACGTCTTTCGCCAAACTGATTACAATCATACCCTCTTAATTGACTCCGCAGACATCGTCAAAAGAAGCTGATATTATATACGGAATATCTTTTCTTCGCTTTGATAGTAATCTTCGCAGTCTTTATTATAAAGTAGTTAATGGTATAAACATTTAATTGTGCTTTATCTACGTATATAACATCATTTAACGTCTGAAAGTAGTTGGCTTCACCCACGCTTGTTTGAAGCTCCACAGATCCTATGCCATTTGTTGTTTACACTACAGGCAAATCCATGTGATGCTTTGCTGCTTCGTGTGATCAAAACATTTGTACAGACGAATAACGAATCGATTACACGCGACGTAAACGTCACTGACACTGGATAAATACCATTTTTGTAGCTGTTATATCTATATTAGATATCCCCACTCTTGAACCTTGCTCTGGCAATGAACCTTCTTTCGATTGCCCTCTGTCACCACTCGCGCGTTATCTGTTCCAGTCCTCTGATCGCTCTGAAACGATGTGACCTACTTTTTAATCGTCACATTCTTTATTCCCCAATACATAGACACTAGCTTAATTTTTATTCGTTTGATATATCGGTCGAATACTAATGAGCTCTTCATTGGATTTTGCACTGCTTTCTTTCTTTTTCGCGGGCAATCTATACGCGGAGCCTAGCTTCAGTACATAAAAACAAGCTTTTAAGTTATGAGTTCCTTCTTCATTTCGTGACTTCTAACTCAAACTTGTTATCCTGTTCTCAGCCTCACTGGTACATCTACTTTCGATATGCAGTCACAGCATCTGATCATTACGAGCATCAATAATTAGGATTTCGTCTCGGAGCTTCGTTGGAGTATCTACATGAACCAAATTCATATCGACTTTGTTTTGTAGCATCCGGAATTGAGTTGTATATTGGTAATCGGCTCAATCGAAATAATTTCACACAACAACCATTAATCACCGCATTAAGTATCACTAAAAGCTCACGAAGGTCAAATATGTAAGCCATGTGTGGTATAGGGAATTTCCAAACGTGGCATTCCCTTTTTTGACTTGATTATAGAAATTATTTACTATATGATAGAAGCTGGAAAACTTCGGAGTCGACGAATTAGGAATCGACGAGGAAGGCTCGACGAGACAAGACTCAAACAGGAAATACTTGACGAGCGAAAACTCGACGATCCAATACTCGACAAAGTAAAGAGATGATGGCTGTTCCATCCCACTAGTAGTTAGCATAGGAAGACGAGGGGGGTGAAGGAGAACCACTCAAGCGTCCTTCACATTCAGGAAGGGAATATGAGATGATCAATACAGAGCAGCATTTTCCAACTCCAAGACACGTGTATACGTTAAGGTAAGTACCTGCGTGGGCTCGATTATGTCTGCTGTCGAGCCTCGATGAGCATAGCTTATAGATATCTCGATTGGAAGCGCGAAGAGTTAAGTCAGCCCGAGGTGGGCAACACTCGCTTCCAGCAAAATACAATCTCGTCGCACGTCGAGCCAGTGACTCAGTAGACGGCACCGCTTTGAGTCTCGTCGGGGCGAGCCATTGACCCAGTAGACGGCACCGCTTTAACTCTTCTCGCACGGCAAGCCGGTGAACCAATAGGCGTCACCGCTTGAGCCTCGCGGACGGCGATCCAGTGACTTAATAGACGGCATTTTACAAAGACTCGTTGAGCGATGAGCCGGGGGGTGTTTAAGCAAGGACACCGTAAGTCTTCCAGTCGGGTGTAAACTGCGCCTAGTGACCTTTAAAAGCGTGAAATTGCCGACGTCCACCCATTGGTACGAGGTCACAGAATTAGAGAAACGGAAACTGCTGAGCTCAGGCAGTCTTCTGGAAAGGAATGTAAGTGGTGAAAGGTATTCAGCTAGGCATGAGCCACAACTGAACCCGAAGGGGCGGACCGTGAAGGGAATTGACCCGACATAAAATCCCTACTGCTCCGACTAGCTCGGCGATTGTTGTGTTGTTACGTTGAGACTGTATTGCCACAGATCTGACTAACAACTATATTACACATATGTCATTCAATGTTTTCACATAATTTTCATCTTTCATACTGCAGCATGTCATACATAAGGCTCATGTTGGAAACTTAGTTTTGTTGTTCTGGTTGCCATCAACGTAACTTAAGGGGCACTCCTGCATCTCCGTGCCGGTGCTCATGTTGTAAACGCATTGTAACGGGGTTAGACAACATGTGTGGTTTACACTAGGGACGGTCTAACGGGGTTTACAAAAATGTGCGGTTTACACAAATGTGTGGTTTACACAAGGGACGGATTCCCAATAAAAGATGATATTAGAACACCCTATTAGTTGTTACGGGCTGACGTGTGTCAGCCACCGAATTACGAGATCTTTCAGGAGGTATTAATTAGAACATTAGTGTCTAGATTAAGTACGTTTGTCTGAGGTCTTCTTTTCGATAAAGAAGAAATTCGGTTCAGTTTCCATTTTGATATGTAAAGACACGCGCCTTCCTAAGACGTCTTGTGGTCGTAGAAGAGCTTAGCAACGCCTTGTAAAAGAGAACTTATATTGAGCACTCTGTGCTGTGATTCTTTACATCGTTGGTCCCCTGAAACAGGCACCGTGAGCTCCTCGAGCTTGTTGACTCACTAAGTCGGGTTCTTTGAACCGAAGTTGCTCGTAGAGCGTTAGATTCCTATGAGTTAAGGAGCTGTTCAGCTCCGCTACACTCATGGTGCCATATCAGCCAGTAGAGAGCTCAGAGTCTGTTGCTTTAGCTCATTCTGAAAGTATTTTATAACTTTTCGTCTAACGTCAGTCTGTAGCGATGAGCGATCAAATTTGTTTGCGCAATCGCGTCCTTCTCTTCGTCTTTGAAGAATGGGATCATGAGGCGTTTGTAGAGACACCAGTATTCCATATTCCATATTCCATAATTTGAGAAGCCCTGTCTTCTCGTTTATCTCTATCCTCGGTCGACCGCTACTTGCTAGACCTCGCATTGTTGGGCTCATACCCTGTTATGGTTGCAAGCAGAGATCTTCACCGAACCTTCGGTGTACTTTACAATTTTAATTCTGTTCCCTGTCTATCCATTTCCGCATAACATTTCAGACAATAACTTGGGCTAAGTCCTGTTCCTGATGTTTACCATATACCTACATCAATACAAGTGAAGTCCTTCTCACAATCCCTCATATTCCCTGCCCGCGATACATCTTCTCAGGTGCGACTAGGATCGCAGCGGTGTGTTATCAGCCCAAATGAATTTCAGCGGGACTTCAGCAGCGCTGATGGCAGGTCCGCCGATGGGTATATCCGTACATTCGACAGCATTCTATTTGATGTCACTCAAATGGGCGAAGCCTTCACGCGTGATGTGGATGCCGTCCTCTTCATTCATTAACATGTTCGTGCTGAATAGAATATCCGTGGTCGTTGGACAGACAACGAAGTGCTACCATGTGTAACGGGATACCGGACGCTTGTACCGACATAGTTCAAGCTCTTTACACTGGCTACACAGTAATTAGGTGTTTCGATTATGCACGTTTACCTACGTGCAGACGGAGAATACTTTAGATATGAAAGGTGGATAATAGAGGGTATAGGCAAAACTATGTGTACATTGTAGATCAAGTCTACGTAAACTATATCTTATATCGTACTTTAACTCTGCTAATTTGTGACTTCCACGTATAAGCTACCAGCTATTGCGCGCGTCTAGCAGCGATTTGTGGTGTAGCTGGTCGACATAATGGCATATCAACCAATGAGTTGGAGCAGTACCGACTATTTCCTTCGACGGTAATATGCCTATAATATTTAAGTAGCAGGAAAAAATCGCAGAATATTATCAATTAAGATTATGTTCGCATTTGCCAATTCTTGGTATCAATTCCATGTAAGGGGCGCACCCATTCCATTATTTCGATCAAGGTCGCCGCGTCTCAGAGATGCCACCGACACAGTCGTGCATCGATCAGAGTCAAATGGAGGCACACGTTTGGTACCGCGCGATACATGTCAATCTTCAGAATAGTGCGACGCGGTGAAGGACCATGACTTACAACCCTACGCAACAAAGACCTGAAGGATATGTCGCAACCGAACGTGCGAAAGAGCGTTCGACCACTTGGTCAAGACACAGTCAAGCAAGACATGCCACAGAGGCCAGCTAATAAGAGTTCACGTCGACTACGTGAGTTACGCGGCTGCCTTACGCTTCTTGAAAACTGCAGCTTTTGCTTCCTCTTGGGACTTGCCCTCTGCTTCGTCGTCCAATCCATCATCTTCGTCCAACAAGTCCATTTTGACTTCCTGGCGATTGCCAAAGCCCAGAGCAACGTACACTTTGACGCGCACGCGGTCGAAGACCTGCAGCGTGCGGCTGTTCTCCTGCACCAACGTAAGCGAGTGGCGGCTTGCATCATAGCGCACGACGTCCTCGTCATCTTGCTCTACTTTGCCACACAAGAAAATCATGCCCTCGATACCGAAACTGGGCAACATCACCCCCACGCCATTGCTCTTGACCTTCGTGATGACGGCATCGGTACGTGTCGGATACTGCTGGAAATACAACACCGTGTGTAGAGTCACCGAGGCTCTACCAGCGAGCTGAGCTGCGTGGTGGCGCCGGTTGAGCTGGTCACTGATCTCATGCAGGTGAGACTTATTTTCGAGGTAGCTTGGCAGCGGTGCAACACCGATGGCAGCAGCCAACAAGCGGTGGACAACTACATCAGCGTATCGTCGAATAGGTGAAGTGAAGTGCGTGTAAATTGGAGCTACAAGCAAACCGTAGTGGTGGTACTCTGGAGGGCGCCACTTCACCTGAGCTGAAATAGCTAGCCGGCATCATACAGCGCGTGGTCATTATGCGCAACAACTGTTAAAGAGTATGGATTGGACTTATTGCGATGCTTTCGCTGCCATGCGTACCACCTTCTCCATTCTCGACAAGCAAGTCAGCGGTGTCCAACGAATCTTGGAGCTGCTTGGACGTATCCACGTGCAGCTCAACACCAATAGCTTTCGCCTGGCTGCACAGTGGATCAAACTGGCGTTTAGAAGGTGCAGGATGCCGCCGTAGCATTGAGGAGGTCGGAAAATGACGCACAATCTTCTTGGCCACAGTAATGTTGGCTAGAAGCATGAACTCTTCCACAAGAGCATTCGTATCACGAAGGGTGTACATTTGCACGTCTAGCGGATTTTGCGTATCCGTATCAAGTACAAAGCGCACTTCAGGCGAGGCCAACGTCAAAAGCTCCGGCCTCGATTCGCTTAGCGCGCAAGCGTGCTGCAATTGCATTCAGTGTCTTGATGCCACTTCCCAGCACCTGTCGACGCTCGGACTCCCTTTCTCACTTCCGACACTTTTTCTTCGTCGTCAAGTTTCCGCCCTGCCCAAACACACGACCAGCGCGGGATCGTCCAATAACTCTTGCGCCTGTTGGTACGACAGTGAAGCTACCGAGCGTATAAGGCTTTTCTTGCAAAGCGACACGTCGATGATCTGCACTTCCTTACTACCCACAAGCTTCATCTCCCACAGGATGCTGAAGGCAATGATCTTCCGTACATGTGAGCGAAAGCCAAAGCTTGGTCGTCAGCAGTCCAGGAAGCATGTCGAGACGACGGTCAACAAGATACGTCGACGTTCCACGGTCAGCAGCCTCTTCATCAAGGGGGCTACCCGGCGCCACAAAATGCGTCACATCAGCAATGTGCACTCCTACTTGTGTGGGTTCCCGTTTGGCAGACATTTTGCGTGCAAAGCATCGTCGATATCCTTGCAGTTGGGTGGGTCAATACTCATGACTGGCAGGTCACGTAAGTCACGACGTCCACTAGAGTTATCGGGTGTAATTTTCCAGTCTTCCGGCGGGAGGCAGCGCATTACCTCGTCACTAAACTGGTCGCACGGGATGTCATGCTCAATAAGCAGCACGTTCGTTTCGGTCTCCTTGTCACCAATGACACCGGGGGGGCCCCCCCCCCCCCCCCCCCCCCCCCCCCCCCCCCCCCCCCCCCCCCAACGTGCGCACATAGTGACCCAAAGGAGATTTGCTATCCGAGGCCACGAAATTCTATTGCTACTAGAAGCCGTTTGTCCATGAGCGCTTCTTGCTGCCGTGTGCGAATCATAATTTTTGGTACTTTCCGATCCACTGGCACTACCAGGCGCTTCCAGATACACTCAATGTCGTCTCATCCCGTGGCGGCTCCAGCGATCCGCAATACTTGCGCCAGTTGCGTTGAATGATGCTCACAACGCGTCCGGTAGGTTTTGTCATATTATGTGCAGCGTCGTTCTGCACTAGTGGCAGCTGTTCTGGCGAAATAGTAGGTTCAGCAACACCAATAACTGGAGGTTGCTCGTCTCCTTTGTCATCATCGA